TGAAGTACCACAGGCCTAGTACCAGTTGAGCATCTAAAAGAAAGATGACTGCACTGGACTGAAGCATAGTAGCTATGCAGCTATGGAAAAGTCCATGAGTTTGGGGTGCCTGGGTGGCTCAGTCGGTTAAGCATCCAACTCTTGATTTTGGCCGAGGTCATGATCTCAGGATCATGAGATTGAGCCCTGTGTCAGGCTCTGTGCTGAGTGTGGAGCCTGCTTAAGATTCTCTCTCTCCCTCTCCTTCTGCCCTCCCCCGCCCTTGGCTCGAGCACACGCACACTCTCTCTTTAAAAAAAAAAGAAAAAAAGTCCATGAGTTCATAGTCATACTCAAAAAACAAACAAACAAAAATCTTTGGAGTTTGATGGGAACAAAATATTTGATTTTTGAAATGATAAATAACACAGTAACACATATGTTCAGAGATTCACTCTGAATTTAATAGAGTTAGTGTGAAATAATACAAACTTCATTGATAGCAGCTTAGTACTCCTTGACCCTTACACTCATGTATGAATCACCTCTCCAGAGTGAGCCACAGTTATTTTCATGTACATCCTCCAAACTCTTTTTTTAAGTGTGTTGGCATTCTTTACCTGTTGGTACCTATAAGCCAACTTTCTACTTTTTCACCTGACACGATGAACTTCAGATGTTGTATGAGTAATAATTAAATAATACACTTATTGATGAAATTTAGATATTTTTGTTATTACAAACCATAAGAATGAACTGCCTTGTTAATGGCTTTTTGTGAAATTGTATCAGTGTTCAGGGTAGCTACAGAGAAATCAACTATGGGGTGTGGTCATTTCACATTTTAATGTTCCAACTCATGGTCAGTGTGGCATCATGTTTAAAAGTGTAGGTTTTGCAGCCGGTTGCCAGCCGTGTGACTGCATTCTTCAGTTAGCCATCACACCCCTTTTCTCATGTGTAGAATGGGGTTAATGACAATGGCACTTACATCATAAGGTAGGGTCTAAAATGAATTAATCTAGACAAAGCATCTAGAAGAGTGCCTGGTTGATAGAAAGCGTTATGTAAGAACATCCAGTGCTCCTGGATGTTATCAAATTGCATATTTTCCACAGTCTGTATGAACCAGTATTCTTTTGCCATATTTTATTTTGCATTTTCCCAATTGCTTGTGAGGTTCAGATTCTTGTCCCTTTGTTGCTTTTTTGGATTATTTCTTCTGTGATATGTGGTCTTCATTCTTGGCTCATTTGAAAAATTATTTTTTGTCTTACTGATTTGTGATTGTTTATCTTCTGATATATTGATCTTTTATATGTTGCAGTTATTTTTCTAGAATCTTGTCTTTTAGCTTTTCTTCTTAATATCTTTTTCCATGCAAAAGTTTTATTTTTGATTCAAATTAAAATTTGTTAGCCTTTTCTTTATGGCTTTTTACTTGTGCCATAAACATTCCATATTTTCTTCTTCTATTCTTCCATAAGTTCTTTCTTTAAAAGTTTATGTCTTATATTCATTATCTATTGGTGGTGTGGCATAATAACATATATATCTATCTGCCTAATATATAGTCTTTTACCCTGGTTCCTGCTAATATTTAATCTTTTACCCTGGTTCCTGACACAGAGTTTTCTAAAACTCTTATAATTTCCTCAGTGATAGGAGTGTCTGTCACAGAGCTCTGAAATCCCTTGGAATTTTCTGGGTGATAGGACTGTCTTTTGTTCTAATTAGGTGACTCTTGGTGTGGGCTTCTGGATGTCTTCTGTGGGGGCTGGTCTCTAGAAAGATCAAGTCATGATTAGAAGCTTGGAACTTGCAGCCCTGCCCCCATCCTCCAGAGTGGGGAGAAGGACTGGATAATGAATGAGTAATCCATTATTAGATCATGTCCATGAAATGAAGTCCCCATAAAATCCCGAAAGTACGGGGTTCGGAGAGTTTCTGGATTGGTGAACACATCTACATGCTTGGAGGGTGTAGCATACCCCAACCCCACAGGGACAGAAGCTTGTGGGTTCAGGACCTTCCAGACCTTGCACGAGGTACCTCTTCATCTGGTTCATTGGTATCCTTTATAATGTCCTTTACTATATAATAAACCAGTAAACGTTAAGTAAGTGTTTCTCAGTACTTTGAGCTGTTCTAGCAAATGATTGAATCCGAGGAGAAGGTTGTTGAATCCAAGGAGAAGATTGTGGGAACCTCTGATTTGTAGCCAATTCCGACAGTGTGTTACCTGGAGACTCCTTCCAGGTGGGCAGGCAAGCATGGCTTACTTAGTCTGTGTTGTTTTTACTCACAATACTTCTGATACCAAATGAGGTTTTTTCCTCCTGACACCAAATATGTGATCTCTTCCAACACCATTTCTCCAGATTGACACTGGACTCTCTGACACTGACTACCTGCAGACAGATTTAAGAGTGCAGACCTGCAAGAAAGCCACCACTTGGGATTCCAATCTCAAGTCTTGGTCTTCTGTACTGACTGACGGGCTCTAAATCATGGTTTCTGCGGTCCTTTCTCAGGACAGAGTACGGGGGTGTGCCACCCTTCCAACAGCATGATGTGCTCACCAACTTGGAAGTTTGCTGAACCTATGTTTTTGGGGGGCTTTATGGAGGTTTCATTGCTTAGGCATGATTGATTAAATCATTGCACATTGGTGATTGAACCCCACCCCTTAGGTGGGGCTAAGTTCCAACCCTCTAATCATGTAGTTTGTTTCTCTGGTGACCAGCCCCCATCCCGAAGCTATGTGAGGGCTTGGGTTACCAGTCATCTCATTAGCACACAAAACACCCTCATCACTGTGGAGATCTTAAGCATTTTAGGAGTTCCTTGTACTAGGAACTGGGGCCAAAAGCCAAATATTTGTTTTTTTGTCATATCGCTGCTGGGTACTTTGTTTCACAGTCACTCATGAGCCTGTAAGCAAGGTGTAAGCCAGGGTGGCATCTGATCTGGGGGCTCGGGTGGGGAAGGATGCATTTCTAAGCTCACTTACTGGGTTGTTGGCGGGATTCATTTCCAGAAGGGCTGATCAAGTGAGATCCTCAGTTCCTACCTGTCTGCTCATGTAAGATTCTTATTAGTTCCTTGCCACATGGGCCTTCCCTACATGCCACTTGTTTCACCAAAGTCATGAAAGGATAGATTCTGTTAGCAAGATGGAAGTCACCGATGGAGCCACCTAGGCTCCCCATTTCTACTAAAATGCGTATAAGAAAAGTATATATGGGGGTACCTGGGGGGGCTCAGTTGGTTGAGCGTCTGCCTTCGGCTTGGGTCATGGTCCCAGGGTCCTGGGATCGAGCCCCACATCGGGCTCCCTGCTTGGCAGGAGGCCTGCTTCTCTCTCTCCCTCTGCCTGCCACTCCCCCTTCTTGTGCTTTCTCCCTCAGCCTCTCTGTCAAATAAATAAAATCTTTTAAAAAGAGAAAAAAAAAAAGAAAAAAGTGTATATAGATGAGGCTATATGGTGATTAGAACAGCCTCCCTCATGCTTCTTCCATATTAACAAAAGTAATTCACATCATATTAAATAGGACTGTGTTAATTACAGGAATCACTGACACTGGAGGATGTGGCCGTGGACTTCACCTGGGAGGAGTGGCAGCTCCTGGGCCCCGCCCAGAAGGACCTGTACCGGGACGTGATGTTGGAGAACTATAGCAACCTGGTGTCAGTGGGTGAGGACAGCTTTATGTGTCACTTAGAGGTGCTTAGTCACTGGCTTTTCCTCTATCACTTGATGAAAGCTTTGTAATCACTGCGGTCTTCCGAAGAGTCCCCTATCTTGGCCCTAAACAAAGGAGTATAATCTTTTCTATCCTGAAAGAGAACTTTTAACTACTTTGCATGTGAGAAATCGCTTTATCTCTAAAATGTAATATTTTCCCATCTCAACTTACTGTATCCCAAGTCACTGCATCTAAGTCTTTTGTCGTTTCTCATGAACAGGGTGTCAGGCTACCAAACCAGATGCATTGTCCAAGTTGGAACACAGAGATGAACCATGGATAACAGAGGATGAAATCCAGAATAGAACCCATCTGGGTGAGTGAGTACCAGCAAGGGGAGTGGCTGAAGAAGTTTTATTCTAGTCTTTAAGAGAAGGTGTCACAGTTGTGAGGGTGTCTGAGGATACCTAATCAGCTCCTCCCCATATTCCTTTCCCCAGATAAGAACTCTTTTTCTTTTGTGCGTATTTAGCTCTAAATATGCTCCTTACCTCTTCCTGGATCTGATATTTATTTCATTTTAAATCTTTATAATTTTCTTTTAAAATTATATAGTCAATAATAAAGAGCCACCCCCACCACATCATCTTTAAAACATTTTTATTCCATACCATCCTTGAGAGAGAATTTGTTGTTCTCTTTTTTTCCTAGAATTCAGGAAGCTTGATAGTCATCTGCAAGAGCACTCTCAAAACCACAGATTTCTGAAGAGCACACAACAATACGGGGAACAGAGTACATTTAGAAATACTGTTCATTTGAGCAAAATACATTTTGCCATAACGCAAAATCATGTGTTTGATTTATGTAGAAAAGCTTTGAAATCAAGTTTGAGTTTAGTTAACGAGAAGAGAAGATATGAAACAAAGAAGGCTGTTGAGTTTAATGGAGAAGAAAAATCTTTTCTGCATGGTAATCAGGAACATTTGTATTCTGGAATTGAATTCCCTGAAAGTGCAAAACATATCAGCACTAAATTCCAAGACTTTAAGCATCAGAGGACTCACAAAATAGAGAAACCCCACACATGCATCGAAGGTGAGAAAACCTGCATCAGGAAGTCTCGGCTTATTTACCATGAGAGCAGTCATAGAGGTGAGAAACCCCATGAGTGTGATCCATGTGGGAATTCCTTCTCCAGAAATGTCATGTTCGCTAAACATCAGAAAACTCATACACAGGACAAAGTCTGTATAACCAGTGAATACAGAAAAGGCTCTAGTGTGAAGAGCAGTCTCAGTTTGCCTCAGCAAACCCAAACAGCGGAGAAATCCTACACATGCAGTGAGTGTGGAAAAGGCTTCACCATGAAGCGCTATCTGATTGCACATCAGCGAACTCATAGTGGAGAGAAACCTTATGTGTGCAGTGAATGTGGAAAAGGCTTCACTGTGAAAAGCAATCTCATTGTGCATCAGCGAACTCATACAGGGGAGAAACCGTATATATGCAATGAATGCGGTAAAGGCTTCACCATGAAGCGCTATCTTGTTGTCCATCAGCGAACTCATACTGGAGAGAAACCCTATATATGTAGTGAGTGTGGAAAAGGCTTCACAGTGAAGAGTAATCTCATTGTACATCAGCGATCTCATACTGGGGAAAAATCTTATATGTGCAGTGAATGTGGAAAAGGCTTCACCACAAAGCGCACTCTCATTATACATCAGCGAACTCACACAGGAGAGAAATCTTACTTATGTAATGAATGTGGAAAAGGCTTCACCACAAAGCGCACCCTTATTATACATCAGCGGACTCACACAGGAGAGAAACCCTATGAATGCAATGAGTGTGGTAAAGCCTTCAGCCAGAAGATATGCCTCATACAACATGAGAGATGTCATACAGGAAAGACTCCCTTTGTGTGTACTGAGTGTGGAAAATCCTATTCTCACAAATATGGTCTCATTACCCATCAGAGAATTCACACGGGAGAGAAACCCTATGAGTGCAATGAATGTGGAAAAGCCTTCACCACAAAGTCAGTACTCAACGTCCACCAAAGAACTCATACAGGAGAGAGACCATATGGATGCAGCGATTGTGAGAAAGCCTTCTCCCACTTGTCAAACCTTGTTAAACATAAGAAAATGCACATAAGAGAAAGGGTAGATTCAGTCAAGTTGTAAATTCCTTTAACACAGAGTCCGCAGCTCATTACTTATTAGTGAACTCCTACAAAACAGAAGCCCTATGAATGTGATGACTGTGGAAATGCCTTCTGTGGCATCGGCTTCTCTGGCAACCAAGACTTCATTAAACATCAGTGTTTCCAGCAGATTGGAGTGTAATCATGGTACTGCTGGTTGTTGATGTGTGTCCTGCGGAGATTAAAAACTTGTCTAGGAGGTAAATCTGGTGGCTACAGTGAATGTGTTGTAGTGCCTTCAGTGATCCTTACCTCATATTTTCTGTCAGTGAAAACATGTTGGGAAAACTCTGATACATTCAATGTGGAAATGCTTTGAGCAAAACTTTCTAGCTTCATTATATTCTGAAAAGTGTATACCGAGATAAATTATGTGAATGCAGAGACTAGAAAGGCTTTCAGGGGGAAGGTAGACTTTATTATCAGGGATCATCATAAATCATCAGTGAGCTTATTGTTTATAGAAATATGATTTTAAAAGAAATTTATTATGACCATGGGAAAGCTTTTACCCAGAAAGAAGACCTCAGTGAGGGTCAGAGTCCACACTGGAGAAAAACTTTTAAGAGGACGATATATATATATATATATGGCAGGATATCAGTGACACATTCTGCCTCGTTTTGTCAGGAAATCATATAGAAATGAAAACTTCATGAACATACTAAATGTAGAGCACCTACAGTCAAATATCAGAGAACTTATGAAGAAATGAAGTCCTGTGAAAGTGGTAAATGTCAGTGCTTTTAAATGTTACAAGTCTGACCTCATTATACATCAGATAATTCACCTGATGTACATTTTCAGATGATACTTTGAAACCCTTTTCTAGTGGCCTTGTCAGTAATTCCTTAGTTTTAAAAAGTATAGTCTGCTTTCCTCATCACTGATTATTTATTGTTATACACCGTGCAGAGTGTTCTATGGAGTATTCTAGGACTACTCTGTATTATATGATTTTTTACCTTTCTTTGGCTCTAAACTTAATTGTAAATTTAGCATACTGAAGTAGTTTTTTGGGTTTTTTTTAAGATTTTATTTATTTGACAGAGACACAGCAACAGGGAACACAGGCAGGGAGAGTGGGAGAGGGAGAAGCAGGCCTCCTGCTGAGCAGGGAGCCCGATGCAAGGCTCGATCCCAGGACCCTGGGATCATGACCTGAGCCGAAGACAGACGCTTAACCATCTGAGCCACCCAGGTGCCCCGCATACTGAAGTAGTTTAAAAGGAAACTGAATGTTTTAAATTTATAAAATAACAAGTAGTTATACTTGCTTAACTAAGTTTATAAATATGACCAAATATTTTATAAAACCACCTTCCAAGTTATTTTTATAAAATGTTTAATTTGAAATCATTTTAACTTACAAGAAATTGCAAAATAGTCCAGAGACTTCCCTAGTATCCTTTGCCTAATGCCTCCCAGTAAAAACATTTATGTAAGCCACATCTTATTGAATCCAGGAAAATGACATCAGTAGTGTACTGTTAGCTAAGCCCTTAACCTTATTTGGATTTCATTAGATTTTCATGTTTTTTTTTTATGTTGGTAATTCTAAGAAGTTTTATTACATATATAACCACTACGACAACCATCATCTAAGACTGTAATCAACACAGATTTCCTCATTATACCTTTTTATGCTCATTCCCTTTGTCCAAACCTACCTCTAGCAACCACTTACCTGTTCTCCATCAGTATAATTGTATAATTTTATGAATGTTACAAAAATCATTTTTTTTTAAAGATTTTATTTATTTATTTGAGAGAGAGAGAATGAGAGACAGAGAGCACGAGAGGGAAGACGGTCAGAGGGAGAAGCAGACTCCCCGCTGAGCAGGGAGCCCGATGTGGGACTCGATCCCGGGACTCCAGGATCATGACCTGACCCGAAGGCAGTTGCTTAACCAACTGAGCCACCCAGCCGCCTACAAAAATCATTTTTACAACTGGATTTTATATATTTTATGTATAGGTTGTATTTATATAATTTTATATTTTTTCCATAAAAGTTATTAACTATATACAAATTTATAATTTTTTATTGGTAGGAAGTATGTAAGCTTTTCATGTTTTTGTCATTTGGCAAATTGCTCCGAAGACTTACGTGAGTTAATGGATGGTTGTTTTTATTAGTGAATAATACACATACTGGAGGACCAGTTTGTTTATCCCTTCATTCTTGGAAGAGATTTCCTCGTTTCAACTGTTGTAAAGATGGTATGAAATCTGCATACAGGGTTTTGTGTGAACATAAGTTTTCATTTCTCTACAATAAATACTCAGGTGTATGATTGTGGGGATGTATGGTAAGTTGTGTTTAGCCTTATAAGAAACTACCCTCTTCCATTATGGCTGTGCTCTTTTACATTCTCACCAGCAGTGTATGAAATATTGTTCTGTGTCCTCTCTAGCACTTGGTATTCAGTGCATTTGACACTTGAACAACATGGGGGTTAGGGGCACTGATGCCCAGGCAGTTGAGAATCCACTTATAACTTAACTACCAATAGCCTGCTGTTGACTGGAAGCCTTACCAATAACATAAACAGTCGATTATGTGTTATATACTATATTCTTAAAGTAAACTAGGGAAAAGAAAACCAGACTTCTGGGGCGCCCAGGTGGCTAAGTCAGTTAAGTGTCTGACTCTCGGTTTTGGCTTAGGTCATGATCTCATGGGTCGTGGGATTGGGCCCTGCGTCAGGATCTGAGCTCAGTGCCAGGTCTGCTTGAAAAATTCTATCCCTCTGCCCCTCCGCCTGCTTGCTTGCTCTCTTTCAAATAAATAAATCTTTAAAAAAAAATAAGACTTATGGGGAAGACAAATACCATATGATTTCACTCATATGTGGAATTTAAGAAACATGAACAAAGGAAAAAAAACGACTTTTTTTAAAAAGATTTTATTTACTTGAGAGAGCGAGAATGAGAGAGAGAACACGAGAGGGGGGAGGGTCAGAGGGAGAAGCAGACACCCCGCTGAGCAGGGAGCCCAATGCAGGACTCCATCCCGGGGCTCCAGGATTGTGACCCGAGCTGAAGGCAGTCACCCAACCAACTGAGGCACCCAGGCATCTCCCCAGACTCATATTTTATATAGAGAATGATCTGGTGGTTACCAGAGGGGAGGTGGGTGGGAGAATGGGTGGAAAAAAGGGAGATTAAGAGTACACTTAAAGCGATTGGCACTAAGTAATTTATAGAATTATTGACTCACTATATTGTACACCTGAAATTAATATAATACTATATGTTAATTATACTGGAGTTTTAAAAAATTATAAAGCCTAACAAAATCATAAGGAAGAGAAAATAACATTTACAGTACTACACTGTAAAAAAATCCACATATAAGTGAACTCATGCAGTTCAAACCCATGTTGCTCAAGGGTCAACTGTGTATTTCTTTTAGCCATTCCACTAGCAACATAGGAGAGATTTAGTTGCTCTCCATCCTCCCCAGCAGTTGGTATTGTCGCTATATTTTACATTAACTATTCTCTTGGGTATATAGTAGTAAACAATCTTGAGCTTAACTTACATTTCCCTAATGGCCAACGATGTTCAACGTAGCATTATTACTACTATAATTAGACTTATTTATTTTATAACTGGAAGTTTGTACATTTTGACCATCTTAAGGTATTTCATCCACACCCCACCCCCAACCCTGCCTGTCACAACCACCAATTTTTCTGAGTTTAGTTTTTTTTTCTTTTAGATTCCACATATAAGTGAGATCATACAGGATTTGTCTTTCTCTGACTTATTTCACTTAGCATAGTACCTTCAGGATCTATTTATGAGTCATAAATGGCAGGATTTTCTTTTTTATGGCTGGATAATATTCAATTGTGTGTGCATTTTCTTTTATCCATTCATTTTGTATAGAAGGACACTTAGGTTTCGATGCCATGGCTATTGTAAATAATGCTGCAGTGAGCATGGGAGAACAACTGTCTTTTTAAGATAGTGATTTCATTTCCTTTGGATAAGTTCAAGTAGAATTAGTGGGTCATATGGTGGTTTTATTTTTAATCTTTTGAGGAAACATCACACTGTTTTCCATAGTGGCCGCACCAAATTTACAGTGTCCTTCATTCTTTTTATGTCTGTATGCATGTTCATTTATGATTTATTTAACAGATCACCTACTGATGTACATTCATATTGGTATTAGTTACCTTTGCATTACAAAATCACTTTCCTAAAAGTTAATGTCTCAAGACAAACATTTACTAATTCTGTTGTGTGGGTCTAGGGTTGGATGTCTGGTGGGGCTGTCTGGACAGAGGCTGCGTGAACTAGATGGCTACACCTCTAAGCCTCCACTGGAATTGATGGGGTCTTTCATAGGCTCTCATGCTGCAAGAGGCTAGCCTGGGCTCTATTCTAATGTGTTAGAAGAGCTCCAAGAGACACATAGACCATACCTTACTGAGCAAGTCTAATTCTATCATGTTTGTTATTTGTCCTATTGGACACATTGGTCAGCGTCACTAGGAAGGGATGCTATCCAAAAGTGAACATAGAGGGGCGCCTGGGTGGCTCAGTCGTTAAGCGTCTGCCTTCGGCTCAGGTCATGATCCCAGGGTCCTGGGATCGAGCCCCGCATCGGGCTCCCAGCTCCGCGGGAAGCCTGCTTCTCCCTCTCCCACTCCCCCTGCTTGCGTTCCTTCTCTCGCTGTCTCTCCCTGTCAAATGAATAAATAAAATCTTGAAAAAAATGAATATAGAGACCCAAGAGCAGTACATTTATGTAACAAGCACAAGAGTGTTTATTCCTTTAAAATTGTCAAAATTGATGCCATAATTACCCTTGTACATGTTCTCAAAAAAAATAAATTTCTACTGAATCAATTTTTGAAATTGCTGGTTCAAAGAGATGAAAAGTTTAAATTGGATAATTGCAGGATTTTACTGATTTATATGCTCTAGTCTGAATCCTGCCTCCCCCAAAACACATCAAATACC